TTAATACTTAATAGGTTTGGTTCGCACCTAAGTAAAGGTCGGCGACCTTAATTAGGTGTAAACCAGACCTAATTAAGTACAAAAAGGTGTCGCTTCTACGAGAATAATCTTGGGAATCATGTGAATGAAGTAGACCATGAAGAATCATTGCTCCAATCGTCAAATTCGAATAAGGCCGCGCCCATCGAAAAACTGCCGCGTTACGACGCCGCGCAAGTGATCGCGCGCGACGGCGTCACTCCCGGACGATTCTGTTGACCGCCGCCCCGTAGGTGTGATTTAACAGAAAATCGAGAAAATATCACACATTACTTATTTTATAATTTATTTAAGTACCTGTAGCATTCAGTAGGTCCTGCTTTCAACATTTAGCCACCCCTCAACAGAGTAGTCGAAGATACTGCTCATACAGTAAATGTTAAGTTGTGAGTTCAGGAGAACATCAATGTTGAGACACTGGATAATCAGTACCAGTGGGTTAAGGAAATCACACAAGAATCACATGTGAAGCGATACGGTAATATGAGTATAGCCCAAGAACCTGTAGGTTGGTTTCAAGGCTCCAAAAACGCCAACCTGAGGTTGAGAGGGAACGCCAAGAAGGTGAGAACTTTAAAGTTCACTATTTTTATTTGCTTACCTTAGTTTGCCGTATTCGCCAGTAACACAGGCAACCAAGAAAACAAAGAAGGCAGTATTCTTAATGATTCTTGCTTGAAATTGAGTGCCAGTATCCAAACGACAAATTGGCAACGAGTTCCAGACTCAACACAAGAAGGTGTCGTGGCCATCAAGGGACGCCGAACTCATGCAGTTGCAAATGGAGAAATTCCGCAGGCCTCAATCAACTGCCGTCGACGCTGAGATCAGCCGGATTTTGAAGGTGATTTCTATTAAAGTAGTCAGCGAGATTAGCTCGGATATGACTTTCAGTCCAATCTTTCACTGCTAGATAGGTGGGACTTGGATAACTTGGAGGAATCTCCGAGCTGCCTTTTTTTTCACCTTTCAACCCTCATCTGCATTTTCTGCCAGACCTTTAGATCGGGTCATGTCTAGACGTTTCAAACAATTCTGTTCCCTTTTATAACAGCGACATGAATGGTTATGTAGTGGGCAGTCTCACTTTTGATACCAAGTGTGGACCGCAGTTTGAACAACGTAAGCGGGTTTCCCAAATCTGCTCTTAAAGGACGAATTCACGATGAAAAAGCAACCCATTTCAAATTAACCTAGGGATGGTGAGTGGTACACGAAAGAAGGAAGAACCATGAGAAACGGCCCAGAACCCGAGAAATGGGACCCCTTCCTTGCCCGTTGATTTGAGCATTGATGCGACTCTCATCGCTGTGCCCTCTTCAACACTACGCTCTCTCAGCTATCTAATCACTCGCCACGTATTGAACTACGGCGAGTGATCAGATGATCGGTGGGCGGAGATCGCCGGACCCGCCAGCTTTGAGGCATGATAGGTCGCCGAGGTCAAATTTTTCCATGCGAATTGCGCGTCAGTTCGCACCCTCAGGAGGTCCGTGGGTCCCTCAACTAGGTCAGTTTCCCTTTCTTCGACCTTCATTCTAATCGTGAATTCCTCCTTTAATCGTTTCGAGAAGTCAGACTCAGGAAGGCTCAAGCAACTCTACACCGCTAGTTGACTCATGCAATATAATGTCATCCCTAGTAAATAAGATTGCACAAACCCTGGCAGGTGCTTTCATGCAGAGACTGCTTCTCTGAGTAGCTTATGAAATGTGGTCTCCTAAGGTGTTCTGTTCACCAAATTGTTGTTGGGACAAGGAGGGTAAAAAAGTGGCTAACACTGAAGGAGGGAATACCGAAAACTAGAAATATTTTTCGTGTCTACACCGACCAGATTGCTTAATTTCAAACAAAGCTGGTCTAACCCTACTGAAAGGACATTGTGATTCAGGATCGAGACGACATTGAAGCAGTTTTCCAGAACCTGATCAACACCCTTGTCAGCGATGAAAGGGAAAGGTTAGCCATTGGTATAGTGGTATCATTCACTATTTAGCAGAAAGTGTACGGAACTGGTACTGTTTCAGACGTCCTTTATTCGAGAAGAAGGGCTATGTTGAAAATCTCGACTGCCATCACGACGTCGTGGAAGCGTTCGATACGATCTGCATTGACATTAACAAGGTGATCACTATAAAAGCACTTGACTTGAATTCACGGGTCGCGATCGAAATGGTGTGATATTTTGTTAAAATTAGAGTTCAAGGAGGAATATAAGTGAGAGTGAGTGAGGAAATGATTATCCAATGGAGGGTTTAATTACTGCGAGTTTGCAAGGTTGGCCCCACGCCTATGAGAAAAACACGACGCTCAGGGGGCAAGCTGTCACACGGGACGCGGTCATACTTGAGATAGAAGTCAGCCCGGTGCCCGGGGGAAGGCAAAGGTCGGGCTCAATAAGGGGTATTATGGCGATTGAAACTGAGTATAGAGATGCGAAGTGGAACGACAGTGGAGAAAAAACTGAGAAAAACCGTCGACAAGGCCGTTAACAAAACCCTCTTTCCCACTAGCAGTGAAGGAGGCTGGCTTGGGAAAGAGGCACGTACAAACAAGTTTTCTGGAGATGTCAGTCGTTCTATCGGTTGATACGGCAATCAACCCTAGCTGATTTCACACGTTATGCCAGCCACGCACCACTTCCGGAGGTGGGCGGTCGGAGCGCCGCCAGGCGGCGAAAGCGCTTAAATACGTGCCCTGGAGCCTTATTACGGCGCCGTTTGGGATTCTGAGCATGGTAACGTCTCTGTGGTGCGTAGCCATGCACAAAGACGACAAAAGGGATTGGTTTGGTCCACTAAGCCTGACTCGTGCCTTTAAGCAGGAGGTCAGCATCACCACAGAATCAACCGGACAAATTTCATCCACCTCTTTTTCGGAATGGTTGGTATGCGAGTGTTCCATTTGAACAGGATCACTACTACTGCCCAACTGTAAACGTTGATCGGCTGTGGTCGCTTGTTCCAGATCCGATCAAGGAAAAGGCCACTCCCGCTAAAGCACCCGTCATCGATTTAATTGTATGAAGGCCGTTATTTAAGGTTCTTAGAGAAGTATTGCTGCAAAACAGCTCCTGATCGTGAAGGCCAAGTACTTCTCTCATGAAGCTGAAAATAAGATCAAAGCAGCTGAGGCAGCTTGAAATCATGGTGGCTTAAGCTGCGTTGCCCAGTTTTGTATTTGAAACAGAAAGCAGCACGCACTATTAGAAAACATTCAAATCTTCTTGTGAGTAGGCCTTGATGACGTCCGTGTGAAAGTATGTTTAGCGCGCGAAGAGTGGAAAAAAAAAGCACGTTCGTACCGCAAGATGGGCGCGACCACGTTGTGCTCCCGGATGGGCGGTGACAGCAGTCGCAGCGGTCAAGCTGAGGCATTAGCACCATTGTTGCGCACTTTCAGATCGCAACATACCACCATCTCTGAGGTTAAGAGTCCTGCTACATAGTTTAAGGATAGAAATGTCCTCTGAAATCTGAATCGCGTTTCGCTGGCTTATAGGGCATTGCAGAAACTAAAACATGTAGAAAATGATGAAGTATGAAGCCCCCTTTTTAATTCCATCTGAATACTTTTGAAGGCTCTTACATCAAGAGCTAGCTCAATCTCACCAAGCACGTCTTTCAGCAGATATTCAGGGCTTTGGTTGCTATCTGGAAAGTGCTTCTGTCCTAAAGTTTCTAGATGCAGATTGTTGCCAAACCATAACTTTAAATGTCCTTGGAAAATACAGATGGTTTTTTTATATAATGCACTGTTTTATTTATTGGTTTGATAGTTGCGAATGAATGCTGGACAATGCGTTGCCTGTTTCAGTACGACTACGCCCTCAAATACGTGTATCTTTTGAACAACCTGTGTACTAAGTTCAACGACTCAGCGAAAATCATCAAGGCAATGCAGACGGCCTGTTCGAAGACAAGCTCCCGCTTCCTCTGAAGCTTTGTCGCTTGTTGGCTATGACCGCATTCATGGAATAAAAATGAAGAAACCTTGTATGACAAATTACTACAGTTCGATATGAAGTTCTATGAGACGATCCGTCGTTCTTCATCACATTGTGAACCTCTCATCATATTTCACTTAAGCTCGCGTAAGTACCGCGCGCAGATCACCGGTGACTTCGGGTCGAAATACACACGCCTCTGGAGCATGAGGGCTAAAGGAATCCAACAGCAGGTCACCTCGTAGAACGGCTAGCGACGCTTCAATAGGCTCACCCATTTGCAAAAACTTCACGTCTATTACGCGCGGTGGAGCACAAACTAAATGGCGTGCTTGTAAACAACTTACCATGCCGGTCGAAATGTCAGGAAAGTTTCGCGGTCGAATAAGCTTGAGCTAATTGAGCGTGATTAGAGGCATTCACTTGTTCATTGTCTATTGCGTCAAATGTCCAGCATACATATCAAGTAACTTTTGGCATAGTAGCAGTCAAATGGGGCTTGATGTTGACGTTGACATCCCATTGAGCGCATTTGATGGTTCATGCTAGGTAAAGGGAACCCACGATGCCCCTTTCCTATCAGTGTCGGGCTAATCTGGTGGGGTTACGAAATTAAAGGCACGCTCCGCGATTAGGCGCGCTCGCCTGTTCCATCCCGGGGTAGTAGGCAGGGCGGACAAGTGTTGATGTCGGCCCCTTTTGCCGCTTGAAAGTGCGCGACAAGGCGCACAAGCAGCTCGTCCAACCCGCAACTCACACCTTCGTCCGCAAGCCCCACCCTCCGCTGTCGGTTGCCACGTGGCGCTGCTTGAAAAGCGCGGGCGCATTTGAGGCAGCGGTCCCATTGCGATCCAATGTCATTGGCACTGGAGCAACTAGAGTTAGGTTCGTGAAACTCGTCCAACGCGCCTTCTCTATCCCAAGGTGGAATGCGGCTGAAATAGGGGAGGTCTCTGTACGGGGCGTAATCGGTGTTTTCGTTTGCTTTCCTTCTCTTTTATAACCACCTCCCACCTCTAGCTTCAAAATGAACTTTGAGCTAGCTCTAGCTTCAAAACTGAACTTTCAAAACTGAACCAAACTTTCCACTTTTATCTCGTATAACTTCTTACCATTTCCACGAAAGCACTGTCTGCGTGGGTTCGAAGTATCATGTTGTGATCCTTTTTTGAGTGGGAATTCACCTTGCCGACCCTAACCCCGTTCATATACGAAGCCTTCTTCATCTTCTTTCGTGTCG